GGCGGAGCCTCAATTCTCTTCTTTCCCCTGTATCCTGCCACCACCACTGCATCGTACACTGGCAGCCACTTGTAGGGGTTCACGGTAACGCAGAACAACCCTGAGTAGGTCTGCAAAGTCACAGAGAATCATCACTGATGCACATCTGCCTGCCATCATCAGAGGCTTCAGCTACAGATGTTTAGATGAACTCAAACTTACGTAGATCATCCATGCTGCATAACGCTCTTTGAGGTTATACAGCACAGTGGGCTCATTGAGGTGGGTCATCATGGCCATGTCCTCAATCTTATCAAACTTTGGAGGGTTCATGGGGAAGATTTCATCTTCTTTCACAGTGATACTCTGATGCAGAAGTTGAAGAAGACACAAGCATAAATTAAGCTTAATACAGTGTTACTCCTTTTATTTCTGTAGCTCCACATCTGGACTATGGCCTTTTCACAGACATCCAGTGCTTTTTCCAAATGTTTGCCACGTTGTACTTCCTGGCAAATGGCTGATGAGAAGCTTGTGACCCATATTGAATCGTTTTCATTTTATCCATCCATCCATCCATCCATACATCCATCCATTATCTTTACCCACTACTTCCTTTTCGGTTCATGGGGATCACTGGTGCCCATATCCAGCAGTCACTTTGTGAGAGGTGAGGTACACCATGGACATGTCTCCAGTCCATCACAGGGACACATAGAGACAAACCAGACAAAAAAACCATTCACTTTCTCACTCACACCTAGGGACAATTTGGAGTTACCAATTGTATGTGCATTGCATTACAATAGCATGCTTGTCTTTTTTTTTGTTTGTTTTTTTGTCTGTGGGAGGAAGTTTTCATTTTATTTCAAGGATTTTTTTTATCATATGAACAGAGTTTGATGGGTGTTTAATTTTATTATGTCGGTCACTTCTAGTCTGTCTGAGTCAGTCTTCACTTTTAAAACCTTCAGTCTAGCCTTGGTTTACGACTGAGGCTATAGCTCCTCTTTGCACAGAATGGCATTCTGACTTCTGATCTTTCATTTAGCTCTGGAAACACGTTTCTCAACTATGACAAGATCAGAGAGGTTTTGGAAACGTAAAGCTTAGCCACCTTACTAACTTGTGAGCAGTTTTTGAGTGCAGAATCGTAGGTGTTTTAAATATCACGCCTTGCAATAAAACGTTAAACTTTATCTCTCCTAAACAGCAAAATATAATGTATATTTTTACAATTTATTTTTATTTATGTAAATGCAATTCACATACAACACTCAGTATAAATTCCTAGAAACTAATTCAGATGTCAAGTGATGCGACATTCGTCATTGCAGGGATGCCTTCTCACCTTCCCAGTGAGGGTTTCCACAGTGGCTTTGCCTCCCTCTTTCTTTATGAGTTTTCCCTTCAGGTACATCTCTGCCGGCTCAGACACATAATATGCTGTTTTCGCATCAAAGGGGGTATTCTGGGCCTCAATTCGCTCCCGTTCCGGCTTCCGGAGGTAGACGGACGCCGGGCCAAAACACTCCATTTCTGGGTCGGGCATGTTGACCCTTTACTTAAAGAAGAAACGTGATAAACGTTAATCATTTTACGTTCTGCTTCAAGTCACTATACACAGTAATAGTTAAATACTCTGAGACTGGTAAAGATAGATGCAAAGCATAAATTGTGATGTTTATATTGCTAAACTTTGACTTTTACTGAATATTGTTTTTGGTAAACAGGACAGATAAATTAGTCTCATTTACCTTGCAGCACACAAGGTGAGCAGGAGGTTTTGTTGCAAACTTTGGTGACGACTTCTGATAAAAAGAGATCAAAATCAGCTTCACTAATGTTCCTTCTTTGTGTTAAAGTTGTATTAATTTACATCAAAACAGGATGAACAGAAAAGAGTAAGAACTTTTAAGTACTAGTTTTCACATATCTGTTTTAATATTTACATGTTTCCTGTGCTATAGGATGTCAAAGGTTTGTGGATACTTACCTTTGCAGGGTGCCCGTTGTTGGTGGTGATTGCTGCTTCCTTTTATACAATCTGATGGGAGCCTGTGTCACGTGTGTGTTGCTGTATTTGGTCATGCTGCCTGATGCTTGGGCACCAGCCCTTACCTCTGCCTTTATTATGGTTTATTTTCGTGACACGCCTCAGACGCCAGAAAACAGACCCCCTACAAATCAGAAGATAATTGAGAATTGAAATGTATTTTTTTTAGAAACTGGATTCCTACACTTTTGATTCCGGGGACAGAAGTAGATTGTTCTCGGACAGCGTTGGGAAGAAAAAGCAACATTTTGAGATCCATGCAATTTCTTTGCCTGTAGTCTGTTAATGAGAAGTTAATTTTCTCTTTTTTTTTTTTTTACCTTGTATGCAAAGAGGATGGTTTCCTTGTTCAGCTCATCAGAAGTTACAGACAAGCCAAAGTTGTGACTAATGCATCTTTGTAATTCCCTCTGGCACAAAAGCAACCCTTTGCTATGCTTCAGTGAAGCTTTAAAAAGTAACTGATATCAAGTTTCAGAGTCCATACAGGTCAGAAATGATTAAAAAAATAAAATGAGTGCCATTGAGCTTTAAAGAAAAGGAAGAATTGCCAGGGGATTACTCCTCACAACAGTGCCAACAGCTGTTCTTATTCTTCTTCTTAAGGGATACACAAGAGAGACTGATACAATCCCTAAATGCAGAACAGCTGATGGATGGATTACAGCTTCTCTACTTCAGTGTTTTAAACACAGCATCACAAGAGCTGTTTTGTATAAAAATGTGTGTTTCTCTAATTGTCTGGTAAACCATTCAGGGAAGACCATCTTAGGCTTGTGAGAAGGTGCCTTTGATGATAAGTGTCAAACTCGTTTCTTTTGCTTGAATTGTAGCACACAGCTGGCACAGTTTACAAGCATGGGTTTAAAGGCCTTAGGCACAGTTTCCTTTGGAAACAAGATCAACTTACATCATCAAAATGAAAAAGAAATTCTAAAGTGCTGACCCTCACGATATAATGGGAAATGTCTTTGGGGGCAATGTGTGACAGGATGCCTGTTAAAATCATGTCTTATAAGGACAAAATTCAAATATAGCGCCTAACTTGTTTCGATGCTCAAGCATAATGCTGCATGCTAACAAGGCATATTGTGTTTTTATGACCTTTGATGTAGGTCTTTTGGTTTCTTCATTTGTCATGGAGCAACAGCTGGGCTCGGGATAATAAACCAAGGTGAGTGCTGCAGCATTCCAGTGTTAGGGCTGGCCTCTCAAACAACAGGATTCACTTTATCCTAACCACGTCCTCTTTATTTAAGATTGTAAGTACCTTTTTTGTATTTTAAAGTTATTTTATCCTTTTTCTAAACTGCATTTTGGACTATAATATGGCTTTTTTATGTAAAAGTGTAGGAAGTTGGTGCTGTAGAGGTGTTTTAAACTTTTTATCACCTGTGTTGTCATGTTGGGAAACTAGCTATATGGTGAGCTCAATCACCGCTCGTTCGGCATTGTTTATTTTATAATTTGTTCATTAAACCCAATATGCTAAACCATATTTCACTGTTTAAAATGTTTTTAATGCTGAATCATGGCTCTGAAGATCGACGAGTTTGACCAAATTTATGTAGAAGAACTTTCAAATGGTTTCTTTTTGGTATAGTTTGTTCTAATTGGGTCTGAGTTTTTTCATTTTGACTGTAAATACTCGTCTGTCTTCTTGCAGAGCTCTGGGATTGGGAAGTGAACGACTGAGAAGTCATTCACTCAAACGTGAAACATTTAAAGCTAACAACTTCAACCTTAGAAAGACAGGCAGATAAAATTCATTTTTAAATTCTTTTGTGCTGTAGAGCTGTTGTTTTTCCTGTATGACCACACTCAGACCAGTGTTGGGCTGCTGGTGCCAGTGACAGTCACACCATGTGTATTTAGTACAGTTAATGGCTGAGGTCACTGGTATCTTATAAACACCAGAGGGAGACTCGTGTTGCAGAGGTGCAAATGTGCGACTTATGTTACCAGCTTTTTTATCATCATTAATACTATCATCATCATCATCATCATGTTCTAACCCCTGAAGATTTCATCCCGTCACCAACTGCTGCAGACAGCAGGAGCTCTAAAATCATTTAATGTTTATTTTAAAACCATAACATTTGTTCCAGGTTGTCTTTTTACAGGGCAGGAGAATATGACATCACACAATTACAGAATTTCAGCTCAAAATACAACTTTAAACGTTTTACCACATCTAAATAAGTTCTTTAGTTGAGTATTGGTTTTTGACTGCATGTATTCTGTATTTGTTTAGTTTCAATGTTTTTTTTTTTTTTTACTGACACATTTTTATATTTATCACTTTTAATTTAATTTACCCATTTTTTGTTGTTTTTCCTTTCCGCAGGAAGTGGAACACAGCGAAGAAACAAGACACACGGAAGACAAAGCATCAGCTAATCCCGACAAAAACACATAATCTTCGATAAGGGTTGAAGTGAGTGCTGAAGGAGTTAAACTAAATTACTATTACTTTCCCGTTAATGCATGTACAAAATATAAACCTGAAGATGTTTTAAAACAAGGAATAAAATTCAGGGAAGGGAAACTATATAAATGTTAAAAAATAAACCAAAGTATCTTTCTTTGTTTGCAGCCAGTTTTGGATTAGAACAAATTAAATTTGTCTTTACACTATATAAGACCATACTTTCAGAAATGCACAAACAGCCACAAGCAGAAAACAAAACTTCACTCTCTTGGTATATTATTAAATTCAGTAAATATCTGAAGAAAGCACAGTGTTACAGTTCAACAGACAAATGGCATGCACAGAAAAGTCTTTTTTTATCACACACAGGGGAGAATTTAAAAACTCCTTCCCTCTCAGTCGTGTTGACAGCATTAACCACAAGTCAACAGGTGCTCCGTCAAGTGAACAAGTTACCATTTTATCACCACTCAAATGTTTGCAGTTGTTCATCTGTTAGAAGGTAGATGTGAACAAACCCACTGGGAAATATAAAAAAAATGTAAATCTTCTGTTTGCTTTGTTGCATTTTTGTCAAATGCTAAAGCATAAAATTTAGGGGAGTGGTGGCGCAGAGGTTAGATAAGGTGGGCCTGTGATCGTGCTGCTGATCTCATGCTGCTGATTTGTTTCGTACTGCTGATTTGTTTCGTGCTCGTCTGCTCACGCACACTCATGTTCGTGCTGCTGTTGTTTTGGCGTATTGATTTTGCATTGTTAAGTGTATTTCTTTGTTCATATCTTACTCCTTTTCTTTATACTTTGGTTGGGTGTAACTGGGACCCTGTGTACACAATTTCGTTCCGCTACATGTACCACATGAGATGCGAACGACAATAAAGAAACCTTGACTTTGACCTGTAAGGTTGTTGGTTCAACTCCCTGGACCGACAATATCAAAATGTTTGTGGGAAATGCGAATCACCCACACCTGTCTCCACCGTCATTTGCTCTACTCTGGGCCTTTGAGCAAGGCCCTTAACCCCTACCATCTGCTCCCCTGGGTGCCCAAGATGACAACCCTCTGCTCCACACAGAGGGCTGTGGTAGCTTGGTGATCTGTGGTTGCGTCAGGAAGGGCATCTGGTGTAAAAGCAATTGCTAAGTCTTCGTTTGAGTTATTTCGCTGGGGTGACCCCTGAGGAAGGGAGCAGCCGAAAGAAAAAGAAAAGCTAAAGTATCCTGATGCATGCTCAATAATCCAGGTAGAAAAAGCCAAAGTATAAAATTTGTTGCTGCAAGCACAAAAACGTTGCAATTTTAATGCCTGTCAACCTACTGACACAGAATATACTACTTAACTCAGATGATTTTAATTAATTCATAACAAAACTGCAATAATTTCATAGCCAGCATTATAAAGTTTCACAACTTGGACATTCTTCTTCAGTGCAACTTGATGCTGAAAACCTCCTCCCATGGATTTAACAGAGATTTTGAACGCTCGTGACAACAACTGCCGAACAAGGTTTTAGTATTTGTGAACTAGAAGCTATATTTGCTTTAGGTCCTGCTAAGACTGAGAAGAGCAGACATATCAAATGTTTGTTTTTAATTTGTTGTAACTCAATCTGATCTCTAGAGAAATGTTCCATATCGTATTAGACTTGCTTTTTATATAATAAACCAAAATGGATTCTAAAATCAGATTTGAGTAAATCTTTGGGCCTCTGCTTGAAAAATATATTCTTAATTGTGCACAGAAAACTTTGTTTCATAACTATGATTTTTATTTATTAACAAATATTTCCACTATGCAGTACATGTGAATTATTGTTCATTTCTCTCATAAACAAAAACCCTGTGAAAATCACATTCTTACCCCCTCCTGTGGTAATTGCTTACTGGTTTTGAACAGAGACTTGTTTAGACCTTGGGTTTCAATTAGTAATTGTTTTTGTGCTATCCTGGATAAGGTGGCGCCACTGGTAATGGTGTGACATCCGAGACCGAGTATCTTCGAAAAGCTAAGAGACCCTTAACAAGAGGAAGGAGGCCAAACACTTCAGTATAAATAAAGTCCTCAGAGGCTCCACCAAAGTTTTGGACAGGCTGCTGAGAAAGGTGAGTCTTCCATCACACTACAGCCAGGAATGAATTAATAAACTTTATTTCTATAGCACCTTCCAACAACGCCTTGCATTGACCAAGGTGCTTCACAAGACAAAACAAGAATTGAGATTTTCACCAAGAGTTGCACTTTTCTGTGTAAAGTTCTTACTTTTTACTGTTTCTAACTTAGCATTCACATAAAGTAAGATGCAAAAAAATCATGGACCTTCCTACTTTCTTGAAACTTACATGTTCCTTTTAAAACTGAATATTGTTTGGCTTTTACTTACTATTTTTCACAGCTGGGCCCCGAGTCCGAATTTGGATTTATAGTGTTTTAGCTCAGTAACCATATACGTTTATAAGCCTGAATAAAGAGAATAGAAGTCTGGACCTTCCTTTGATGCCACAGCTTGTTTATAAATGTTATTATCAA